AAATTCGTGCACGGGGGCGTAGAAGGGGAAGGGTTCCTCAGCCCGGCCTGCACCCTCTCCCAATCTGGGACCCCTCGGGGGATGTCCAACTGCTGGTTTAGGCCCGATCCCGACTGGGCCTAAACTGGCAGTCGGACATATCCTCTCGAAATCCGAGACCTCTGGCTCCTAGCCGCTCGCCTGCCTGCCTACCTGATCGCCCCTAACCACTCGCCTGCCTGCCTGATCGCCCCTAACCACTCTGCCTGCCTGCCTGATTGCCCCTAACCCCTCTGCCTGCCTGCCTGATCACCTTTAACCACTCTGCCTGCCTGCCTGATGCCCCTAACTGCTCGCCTGCCTGCCTGATCACCCCTAACCACTCTGCCTGCATGCCTGATCACCCCTAACTGCTTGCCTTCCTGGCTGATTGCCCATAACCGCCTCTGCCTCGGCCCCCACAGCTTCATCCGGAAAGACATCTGGAATGACGTCCGGAAGGTCATCTGGAAGGTCATTTGGCTGTCTAGTCTAATTAGCATATTACGTTTTTATTATTATAGATTCTAATTCATTTTAATTTTAAAAACACTGGACTGACTGGGGTGGGGATGGTCATTAAAAATCAGAAACCCAGATATTTCTGTTGTTGGGTTTGTTATCCTTTTAGATCCTTATCAAAATGAATGACTCTTCATTTAAATATCAGGATGTAAAGACAATCCATTCTGTGCAGTTTCGTTTCTCAATCAGAAGAAAAAGAAACAATTTCCATAGTAACTCCCGAGTGTGACTAAACTTGATACCCCCATATGAGGAAGAACAGAGGACAATGGAAAGGGGAAGTTGGAAGAAGAAGTGGCTTAGACAAGTCAGGCCTTGCCACCCCAAATTTCCCATCAGCACATACTCCCAGATGGAGCGAGGTTCTCATCATTTTTCCAGCAGCCCCAACCTACTCTCCCAGGATGCTGGATTAAAGAAAAAGATACTCTCTTAGGACTATCCACAAAATACAAAGTTTAAAGGAGCATGTGACCATATTTTATGTAGGATTCATATCCAAATAGGGCATTCTCACTTATTTCCTCAATAATATCTAACCTCTTTAATCAACCCTTTACGACTCATTTCCCCTTTAATTCACTAACCATAACAACTTATAAAATTTTGTGTACCTGGTTTTTAAGATTGGAGAAAGGGAAGAGCCTGTATCTAACATCTGCTAATTACTAAAATGTTCTGTCCTTAGTCCTCCATTCCTGACTTTTCAGGAAGAAATCTTTTTTCCCAATGTCTGCCATTCTTAATGACTTATAAGTATGAAGTGTAAGCTGTAATCTTGTGTATGTCTATGTGTGTGAATTGTCTTTTGCAAATAGCTGTATTACATTTCAGCACATACATATCAAACCCTTCTAATGGCAATAATCAGTGAAATGAGAAAATCACACCAACATTCCTCTCCCCTTTCTTACCACAGTCATGTTCTCCGGCCTCACAGTTCTCCCCCATCATCTACCTTCCTATTGAGAGGTTTGGATAATCACAGAGTGAGAGCCTTATTATAGACTAAAAGCCTGGTGCACAAAAATCGGCACTGTGGGGAGGGGGTTCCTCAGCTTAGCCTGGGCCCTCTTGCAATCCAGGACCTCTCAGGAGATGTCCGCCTGCTGGCTTAGGACCGTCACCCCTGGGATAGGGCCTAAGCAAGCAGTCAGGGGCTCTTGCAGTCCAGGAGCCCTTGCTCCTTACCACCCACCTACAGTGGAGGAAGGACAGGCTCCTGCCACTACGCTCACCAGCCGTGAGCCCAGCTTCTGGCTGAGCAGTGCTCCCCCTGTGGGAGCGTCTGTCCCCTGGTGGTCATTTCGTGTCATAGCGATCTGTCGTTCTGCCATTCGGTCGATTTGCATAGTAGGTTTTTATTATATAGGATGCACTATCCTATTAGACCAGCTCTTTGGCCCCTTGAGTGTGGCTCTTCCACAAAATACCACGTGCGGGCGCGCATGTACAGTGCGATTGAAACTACGTGGCCCATGTGCAAAAGTCGGTATTTTGTGGAAGAGCCACACTCAAGGGGCCAAAGAGCCCCATGTGGCTCGCGAGCCGCAGTTGGCCGACCACTGTATTAGACCATGGAGATGGCATTTTGGCCAACCAGCAACAGAAAGGAGCATTAACCCAGATTGTAAATAAGACATTTACAATCACCAGCAACAATTTAGAAATCAACATTTTCCACATCCTTTTATGAGATATTTCATATCCTACCTCTTGTGCTTCACCTCTCTGCTGACTCTCCAGAAAGCCCTCTGAAGTTAAGAACTGCATTTTGCTACAGTATTAAAGGTGCAAATATAAAAAGTCTGATTATGCTATGATTTCTCCCTGATGCTACACTTTATCCAGTAACTCAAAGATCCCAGAAACCACTCTTTATTTCTCCATTTTCCTCACGCTCCATATGTAATTCATCAGTAATCCTGTCGCTCAGTCTCCAAAACAAATCTATCGACGTCTCTCCATTTCTACCCTCGCCTCCTGCCTCGTATACACCAAAAGAGCCTCTCGTCGGTCAGGCCTCCCTGCTTCCATCCTTGCCCCCGACACATCTCTTTTGCACACAATAGCCAATGTCAGGTCGGTAACTTTCTGAAAGAAAATTATTTAATGACTTGCCATTATGCCAATAATAAAATTCAGCCTCTTTACCCTGGTCTATAACATAAGATTCCTGCCTTTCGGTCCCTCCTTCCAGTTTTAGAGCTTTCAACAGGATCTTCTCCCAAAACTCATTCCACCAGATCTTCAATAATCAGATTCATTTTTTCATGGAAGTTTCCGTTTAAAGTCCCCTCCTCAGAAGAGCTATTCCTCCTCTGTCATTCTTTGTCATATGACCTTGTAGTACAAAACTTCGATGATTTGATATTTTTTCTTTTGTCTGTTTACTTATTTATTGCCTGTCTCCCAATGTAAGCCCATCCAAGAGAGGGGAATTTTACTTGTTCTTTGCTATATCCCAATGCATAAAACGCATACCTGACATATAGAATAAATACTTGCTGGCTTCCGAACAGTGACTTATCATTTGTGTGGATGTTTAATATACAACACTATTAAACTCAATACCTATTAATCTTTTTGTTATTATTGTTTAAATCAAAACAATCTGTCTTTCGTAAGATTGATAATTTACATATACTTTTATTTACACCCTTATTTATGTTTAAGAAATTATGCCTCTGATTTGTTCCAAAAGAATGTGAAGCAGCTGCCTATTACACTGCATTTAGTGTGAAAGATCAAAATACCTCTATGTAGGACATTCTATAAAATACCTGACCAATACTCCTCAAAACCATCAAAGTCATGAAAACACAAAGACTGAAAAACTGTCCCAGACCAGGGAGACAAAGGAGACATGACAACCAAATGCCATGTGGGACCCTCGATTAGATGCTGGGACAAGAGAAGAATGGAAAAACTAGTGAAATCTAAATACATTCCAGAGTTTAGTTAAGAGAAATGGACTCATGTTGCTTTCTCAGATTTGATAAATGCACTGTATGTTTGGGAAACTGGGTGAAAGGTATGTGGAAACTCTCTGTGCTATCTTTGAGGCTTTTCTGTAAACAGAAATTTATTCCAAAATAAAAAGTTTATATTAAAAAATCGACAACTCCACATACAAAAAAATTTACTGTACTTTGACCATAATTTTGCATAGTCAAAACTATGGTCAAAAGCAGAATGTGGACCATTGACTTACTGCCTATACATGCACTTAAATATAAAAGCACAATATTATTTAACTCTTATTCACATTTGCCACCACAAGAGTAATTTCAAAACAATCAGACAGATGTGCTTTTTGCCTCTAATATCACCTTAGTTCTACATGCAGATCTGAAGAAGACATGCCATCCTTCCCCTCTTCTCTAATGTGGGTGCTACCCTGTCATTTAGAACTTCCGTCTGCCTACTAGGTTGTCAGACTCTTCCAAGTCCTATCAACCTAAACTCTGCCCACTGCTTCTTCTCTAAAAGGAGCAGAAACTACTATTTCTAAGAGTATCACATCATCAGAGAATGTCTTAAATTGATCATTCAAATGCAACTAGTATTTCAAAAAGACTTCCTAAACATTATTCTCTAATTTTCTGTTAAGCATTTTACAAAGTTATTCCCTATTCATTCACTTGACAAATAATTACCATCAAACTGCAGTCTGAATCATACTGAACTTGGATAACAAATTAGATTATAAATTCAAAACTATGAAAGCAAATTCCACGGTCATGCTTTTGTACCCTAGAGAGGTTTCATCATTTCATAAATACACCCAAAACCAAGAGCCAAAGCACTATAATTCATCCATTTTACACATAATTTGATAAATGTGATATAAAAACATCCTCACACACAGTACCTTATAATCCTAACATTTATTTACCTTATTTATCATGCTATTCTGGTTTCCATTTCACACACACAAGTATATTGTTTCATGGGTCATGGTGATCTTTTTTTAGGGGACTACCAGTATATAAAATCGTCAAAATAATTAATATGAAAAAAAAAATTAAACCATTCAAAAGGCAGAAGTTGAAAAAGGGAGATGACATAAGATTAGACTCTTACAAGAAAAAATAGTCAGAGGACGAGGGGAAATTTGTGACAATTCTCTGGGTATTTTGTGGTTTTGCAGCTGTCTTCCCCGGGCCAGTCTTTTAAATAGTCTCAACCTCATGTTTCTCATCTATGACATTAATATAGTGATGCCAGCCTACCCCTAAATTCTTTTTAAAAGTATAAACAAAACCTGGCAAACAGAACACACTTTCTAAAAGCTACTTTTCAGCCCAAATGAGCTTTTAAAAAGTGAAAAATTGCCAATTACTAGAAGTATATGAAAAAATAATTAATGTATTTTGGAGCTTGGTAAAGCTGAAAGAAAGCAACTCTTTCATCAAAGAGAAGCTGAACAGAAGAATTCTTGAGTAAGTGCTTACCTTAGAGACTTGTCGAAGCCACCTTAAATACTCTGTGAATGTATCAAAACAAATGTAGTAAGTCTGGCTTTGGGGTCCAGAGGAGCTAAATGCTAAACAGTGCTGGTGCTTTTTCACTTCTTCTACCTATAAAAACAAAGAGACAAAAACAAGTAAGAAAGCAGAATCATCTACATTTCTTTAACTATGCCTTAATAAGTGAGCCTGCACAAATT